GTGCCTCAAGCAATTATTAAAACTGAAGCCCGTGAGCCTGCATTGTGACTGCAAAAACAAACCAGACTGAATCCTAGGAGAAAGTGGGAAGAAGTGCCCAGCTGGTAATCAACTCTACCACTTCTTGAACTTACAAGCCAACTGATTAAATGAATAAACCAAATACCCACTCCCACCCCCCACCTCTCCTCTCAGCCCTCTTTTTAAGGGCTTCTTGTGTACACGTGGATAGACTAGCAGATCATAGGTAGACCGTATGCATTTATTCAAGGCAGTTGATTCCCTCTATCGGGATTATTTTTTTTTTTTGTTTCTCTGTATAAGAGATGATAAATGGTTAGTCTTGCTATGGACAAGCAAGAACCATTTCCAGATCAGCAGTGAAGAACACAGGCATACAGACAAAGAAGTTTCCAACTGAACAATGCTGACTTCTGTTCTGTAAGATGCAGATATTTTTGCTTCTTAAATATAAGATTTAGTTAATATTAAGAACACAGCAACTAACTCTTAGAGCCACTTTTTTCCTAATCATGTTTTCTCTCTGCTCCAGGGTCACTGCCAGCCCTTGGGAAGTACTAACGTTGGGCTGCTCATGTTATGAACCAATGAACCCTAAAGGACATCATCACTTCATCAGTCTCAGACTTAAGAATTTCAGACCACCTTATTCTTTACTTCTTAAGGGCAAACACATTTTGCATTAACATGGGAACAACTGCTGAGCATTCTTCTACTGAATTCTTCATTTATCTGTACAAAGTCCGTGATGCCTCCAAATAAATGTTCACTGAATTTCATCAGACACACTACACAAATGTACTCCCATAACCTCTCAGCATGTTGAGTAGTGAAATATTCAATCGTAATTTGTTATATTGGATGCAGCTCATTGTTCTCAGCTTCCAAAACAAGTTAGTACCAGTTTGATGTGGAGTTAAGGGAGTGTAAAGAATTGATCCAACTCTGAACTAGATCTTGCTTTGGCAAAAAAAAAAAAAAAAAAACCAAAGCACTCAGACAACCAAAAATACATTATTTCAACCATAATCTAAAATTGCCCACTAGAGCTGAAAAAAAGTTCCAGAAAACATCTGAAATACTATGGAGACACAGAAACATGAAGGGGTGGAAAAACCAAAACCCAGAGATGCTTCAGTCAGCACAGCAAAACCTGAGTGCAAAATCTGTAAGCCGCTGTGCGGGAACAAACCACAGACAAGCATTTGTCATAAGTAAAACAGAGCAATATTAAATTAAGTCAAAGTCTTTCCTTGTATTATTGACCATCTGTACTTTTAACTACACATTAAAGTACAAATCACAATAGCTCTTCATTATGGACTCAAATAAATTTCATTATTGACTTCTGTATTTAGCAATTTTATTTTATTTTTAAGTAAGGAAGCATCTGTCACATCCATAATGGGCTATTCTTTCTCAAGGAACACTGACCAGAATACAGATACTGAATACGTTAAAAATTTCTTGTGCACTTTAGATAACATCAGAATACTGATATGCTCCCTCAGCCCTAACGTGGCAGCAAGGACACGTAATTAACCAACGCAGTTCATAACTAAGATTTACTATATTCACTATATACTTTCCTGCAAGTCCACTTATTTTAGTCAAGTCACAGAATAAAAAGCTAGTAAAAATAAGAAAGCACAACAGATTAAGGTCCAAAGTTAGACTGGAGAGAGCCTATAAGTCTACAGGGAAATAGGGTTTTAGGTTGGTTTGTTTTTTTTTTTTGCTGTTGTTTGGGTTTTTTGTTTCCACTTTATTAAAACCAAACTAAAAAAAATATTAACATTCTAAACCAAAAAATCCAGTAAAAATCCAGTGTTCTCTATTACTTCCCAGAGCAATAATGTATATGACAGAAATATGTAACAAGGGGGGTAGAAATCAATCACACTCATTTACTTAGTTATATTGCAGTAAAAAAAACCCTAAATGTTTACAGCAAGACTGGCTTCCTTTCCCACACCAGGTGACCAGATGATTCAGCTTAATGAACTTATGCAGCTACTTTTATTCTTTCCAATTTCTAAAAAATGTATCCTAGTTCTCCTGTCACTTAAAAAAACCTATAAATATATATAAAAAAGATCAAACAATCAGCATTTTCTCAAAGGGAAAATTATTTAATTGGAAGAGTCTTAAATTGCTCTATTTAGTATCTTCTTGAAGGTTTTCCAGAGCATGCTAATTAAAAAGCTTTCTTGAATTCAGAGAAAACAATTCCATCGTCATGACATGCAGTGGGGTAAAAACAGGCAGTCAGACAAGTCAGCTGAGTTATCTACGGCTACTCCATGGACAAGGATGTTTCTGCCCATCTTCTCTGTTCACGACTCCCAAGTTTTCATTCCCTGCTTTAACATCAACCAGCTTTGGCACTTGCCAAGTGCTCAGGTAAGCCTCTTCAGCTCATTAGACCATTAAAAAAAGCCCCCAACTCAATCCAGTGAAAAAACCCCAACCAAACAAAAACACCCTATGGGGAGATCTCCAACAGCTCTCAGGCTGCAGTTTCACAGCAACCTAAGCCAAGCTATCTCCTGGCTGGCAGAGTCTCTTACCTCCCTCCGGCTGCATGCTCCTACTCTTTTCCTTGTGCCAGCTTCAACATTCATCAGCACTTGTACAAAACCATTCCAGTGAGCTGAATCAGCAGGCTCCCATCCACTGAAGTGAACAAGAATAGCTCTCTGCTCGGCCAACGCACCTGAACAGGTTGGTGCAGGTTCTAGAGAGAGAGCACAAGGGCTGCAAGAGGTGGCGGCAGCTACCGAGTTAGATCAGTCCAGTCTCCCACTGAACCACAACTTCAGTGATTTCACTCACCAACAGGTCGGACAAGCAGCAGAGCTGACACACAAGAGAGAGCAGAAGTGCATGACCATGAAAGAGATCACACCTCTAGAAGAGGCAGCAAGCTGTCAGATTAGTTTAGCTGGCTTCAACTCACAGTATCTGGCGTAGTACAACTGTGACTAGCTTCAAGGGAAAATACTACTTCGTTCCACGGTTTCCTGTGTTCTGGTCCTCCAATAAAACACTGCTAATTACATGTCTGAGTGTTTAATAGGTCAGAAGCAATCGTGAACTTTCACATTTCAACTACCGCTTTGCGTACACGACTTGTACGTGCAGGACAAAGGTGAGCAACTGCCCTTAATGCACTTTCATGCATAAACTGAACATACCAGAAATTTAAGTTGCTCACATTCGCAATTAGTTTAAGAGATTGAAATGCTTAAACTGACAGTCTATTAAGATGCAACTACAACATTTCTTAAACCCAGCAAAAATATCCAACAGGCTTATTAAACACCTATTTACATTACCATTTTGGCAGCGTAACTGTGTATTACACACAAAAAACCCCCACTTATTTTCAATAGGTTTGTAAATAAAGGTGTAAGAGAATTGTCAAGTAGGGGAAGAACAGCAACCTCATCCACCTCAGGTGGTACCCTTCACCGATGCCTTAAGAATGTTCCACTAGAAATCTTTGTGCCATTTTCCACTGTAGAGTCTTGCAAGCAGATGGAAAGAAGGCGAGAGTGCTAAAATGGAATACTATTCATTCACATATACACTACAGTAGTAACGTACACAGTGCCAGGCCCATTTCAATGGGGGTTGTCAGGACAAAATAATAAAAACTAAAAAAGGACACATGCCTTTTACTACTGATTAGTAGCATTGTACCAAAGACAAACTCTGAGAACAAGCTTTGTTCCACAAGAAGGCAGGAAAGATTATATACATATATAACTGTAGAACCAATTATATGTTTTCCACTAATGAAAATCTCCAAAAGAAATACCTTTAAAAAACAGACATCGTAACTAGCAGCATGAACATTTAGCTATGGAGGAAACCATACAGGAACCAACACCTTTTTTTTTTTTTGTACCCTACCCTAGACAAGGTGAAACCCTGAGCACATGCCAAGCCACAATGGTTTCAATAGGTTCCTGCTAATAGTGCACCTGCTCAGATACACAGTGACATAACTTGGGTCATTAGAAGCCACAAGGCCTGCCTGTTGCAAGTTTTCCTCTGCGATCCCTCAAACTGCTGTGCTCATCTACGAGGGGACACTCAATTTCTTGTTGCTCAGGTAGATGCAAACCCACATGAATTGTTGAAGTTACTAAACTGCTATGGTTAATTATGAAATAATTTTGAATGATAATTATTAAAAATCAGAATATTTGGAATTCAACTTTAAATATGCAGTGTGGCTGAGATTTTTCTCTGGAAACAGGTGTTACGAAAACGATTCATTCTAGAGGGGATTTTACGCTGACAGAAGAAGAAATGCTGCATTCACACCTCAGTGACTGCAGAAATGTTATATCCACATCGCCCCTCAATTAACAGTGATGTCGGAATTAAATACTTTCAATTGCTGGCAGGATCCAATGGATTTCACCATTTCAAACAAAAGCTTGTTGTGACCTCCAAGTCTCTCTAGGAAGACGTATCAATCTGTCTGCTCCTAAGTTCCTGACTCCATGCCTTCTCCTACGTACCGCTCCTTGACTCCCGTTTGTTTGCCAAGGCCCACACCTACAGGGGAACGGGTACGTGTGGACAACTCGGACACCTAGGTGCTACTCCACCTTGGCCCTTTCGAGAAAAATCGGTATTTTCTTTCCCGCTACGGCATCTTAAGCGTCCGGACGCGTCTCTGATGGACAGCGCGCGTCCACCTGAGCCTGGGCTCGGAGAAGGCGCGGGCCCTGGGGCTGCGGCCGGGCGAGGGGAGCCCGCCGGCGGCTGGCGCCGGGCCCGAGGCTCCCCCCGCTCCCGGGCTGACCTGACCGGGCCGCGGGCGAAGCCGCCCGGGCCGGCGCACGCTGGGGCGGCACCGCCAACGCCGCCCCGGCCCCCCGACGGGAATTGGGACCCGGGGACCGGGCCGGGGCCGGCCTAAAGCAAGCGACGCCACGGCCCGCCGCGCCGCCGCCCCTCACCTGCCGCCGAGCTCAGGGCGACCCTCCGGTGCCTCCTGCCGAGCTCCCGCAGCTCCTCCTCGTCCTCCTCCAGCCTCCAGGCTTCGGCCATCGGCGGCGGGGGGGCCGGCTGACAGCATTCAAGAAGCGGGGGCTGCCATGTCCGCCCGCGGCCGGAGCCCTCCCCTCAGCGCGGCCGCCCGGGCCTGCCCTGCACCTGCGCCCCCTCCGCCCCGCTTCTCCCGGCGAGCTTTCAGCCCCGGCCGCTCCGCGCTCCTGCCGGCGGGGCGAGCGAGGCGGGAGGGAGGAGAGGCGGCGGCGGCCCTTCCTGCCCATCCGCGGCTCCCCGGCGTCAGCAGGAAACCCGGCGGCCGCCTGGCACCGCCGCAAAAGGGGGCGGAAGGGGCGGCGGCGGGGGGAGGTACCTGGCGGCCGCCGGCGGGCACCTCGCCGTGCCCCGCTCCGCAGCGGGGGGACTGGGAGTCGCCGCAGCCCCGGGCCGGGCCGGGGGGGGGAGAGGGCTTCCTCCCCTCGTGACGGCGGTCGCGGGGGGGGGAAAAGCGCAATGAGTGCCCAGCGCGCTGGGAGGCCGGGCGCCCCGGCCGTACCGGGGGTGCCGGCGGGGTAGAGCAGCAGCCCGGCCCTGCCGAGCGGGGCCCCGGGAGGCCCGCGGGCTGAGGGCAGGCGGGCGTTCAAACGGCGGCCGGCGGTAATTCGCGGCCGGGAGGATGTATTTCTTGGCGTGGGGTTCGATAGTGTGGTTTAAACCACTTCAGGAGAAGTGATCTTATGGACGCACTTGAAGCCGATGAGTTTACACACTTCCAGCTCAGAGGCGATACAGAAAATCTGGCCGTGTTTCAGGTTGGACGCTTAGAAGTCAGGTGTAGTTTTAGCTTTTTTTTTTTTTTTCCCCCCTGAGCCTCAGTTGACCATATCTAAAATTGAAATTATATTGCTTATTCACGTCATATGGTTACTGTAAAATCAGGCCATACATGGTTTTACAGATGACTCCATATTAGGCACCACTTATGAGGAAGTTTGATTCGGCTTCAGAGCAGGTTAATAATGGACAGTAAATAAATAAAATACATGACAACAACAAAACATTGAGCAATCCCAATGTTAAGCAATATCTGTGCTTACTCACCAAGCACCATCTACTCTGTACACTGAATAAAGCACACTGTGCAGGTTGAAAAAATACACACGATCACAAAACTGAAAAATACAGTGCGTGAATACAAATGATTGTCTATGCATTTCTAACTGTTTAAATGCTTGACTTTACAATAATTGTTTCTTAAAAGAAGGTTTCTTCCCTGGAACATTTAGTGTTCAAGGGGTGGAATAGCTATACTTTAGAAGGACGTAAGGCTTTATACTCTAAGAAGATATAGGGCCAGGCATAAAACTGGGTGTACAGCAGGACTATATAACAGACAAATCAAACCTTCCATTGCAGGTACGTGTTCTCAAAAGCCTCGTGCTCCAGATGACCTCTGTGTGCGTGAATTCAAAGGGTATCGCCTCACCTCACAAATTTCAATGCAAGACCAGCCTGCCTTGTGCAGGACGACCTGCTGGTTACAAAGTTCCTCAGTGGTGCACTGCTGCCACAGGTGTTACAGGGCTGTGCCACAATGCCTCACCTTCAGTGAAAAACACAAGAAGTTCCAATGCATAAAGTATGAGGAAGAACAACAGAAGAGAAGGAAGTCACCGGTATGTGCATGTGTGAGAGACAAAAGAGAATCTCCCGTGTAAGACAAGCAGTATGTGTTGTTTGTATTCTGGTTCTTCGCTGTGGAGCCAAAATGGAGCACCTGTATTCAGCTCCTGAACTCCACTAACCACAAAGAGTGACAAGGACCATTTTCCATTCCTGAATATCTCCTTTTTACACTATGTGTTTCACTGCTGTTGGGAGGAGAAGGAAAGGAAGCTTGCTGTCCTGTAAAATTATCAAGGAAGGAAAAAACAGAAACATATCATAGAACATAATGTGAATTCAAAAAGCCTAGGAAATTGAATTAAACCTTTCGTTGCTGGTGATGAAATTAACACAGAGGCTTCCAAGCATCTAATACTGAAAAATACATTTGGAGAGATCTTAGGCCTAAGAAAAACATGCTGGATGGAATAGTTCCAGCTGTGACCAAGAAAACATTCCCCAAAATCTCAAATAATAGATTATGAAAAGATCATACGTATTTATGACAATCATGAAGACTTGCTTAGAGTTCACAGGGAAAGTCCTACTTAAAAGTGTAAGTGCAATACCTAAATTATATAAAGTGATGAATTCTCTGAAGCAATGGCTTGGCTATATACCAAGGTCTGCCAGTGGGAAATGCACTCAGGACAGGGGCAGCTATAAAACAGGAGTTTTAGAGCTGGAGGAGCCATTCAAAAAATGCCTGGAACCGATAGAGGACAGACTTCACCAGAAATAAAGCGATCAAACTATGACACAATTCGTATGTGGATACAAGATTCAGGTAGCAATAACTAACATACTACTAGAAACAGTTTCCAATCAGTACTACTATACTGTAAACAAGTTAAAATTCCCAGCATTTAAACAAAATTAAAATGCATGGCAGCACTGCATGAAATACTCGAATCATATTACTAAAATGTTTATTGCAAAACACATTCAATAATGCACATTGCTTCCAAAAGAAGGTTGCTTACCAGTAGCTAGAGTTCTTCAGGGCATGTTGTCTGTAGGTGTACTCACACTGCCAGTGTACAAATGCCACAAGCTTTCAAGCTCAGAGGTGTTTTTAAATGCCCATAGAACAAGTGTATGTAGGGTAATATACGGGAATGTGTAAGTTTGTTCACATATTCTTCTCTCAGCCGCAAAATCGGCTACTATGCAAGTACTGTAAGGGAGTAGAGACAGAGGGTGGATGTCTAGAGCTCCATTTCTTACAAGTAATTCTTTTCTAGTGAGTGCTTGCCAGATGCACTCATCCATACTGACTGTGAGCTGTGCGGCGCTTCTAGCTTATACCGGTATTTTCAAGTGATCAACAGCTTTAGGGTTGCTCTGTCAAATGCAGCATCACATCCCTGGCCTGATACCTGATAAAAGTGTGTAATTAATGGAGGTATCTAGGAAGGAGATAGGCTTTAACAAGTCTGCAGGAGATAGATGGGCTCTGACGAAGTGCTCCTGAGCAGCAGATCCACTTTAGCAGTCTCGGAGCAGATCCTGACACAGCCCTTTATCTGGGTAAGCAGTTTCTAGGGGGAGGAGAGAACTGTGCTTCTGAGTCTTTAGAAAATCAACAAAACCAGCTGTTGAAATAATCAAAAGAGCCACAGTTGCAGGCTGGTCTAATAATAGCCTAGGCCAGACAGAGTAATTTGTGATAATTTGGCTCAGATTGGAACACAAAAGAAGGCTTCTGCTGGGCTGATGGGTCCAGGGGAGGAAGGAAACAAAGAGGCGTGGGGTATGGATTGGACCCAACCTTTTCAAGTGCAGCAGGAATTAAAGCCAGGTGGGAAACTTTCTCCAATAAGTCAAGGAATGAAGCTCCTCTTCTACTTTTCAACAAAAAAACTGATAGAAATTATCAAAATTAAATAGAAGTGGAAGAAAAAGTACACATAGAAGCAAGTTGCAGAAGTCTTATTAAAAAAAAAAACAAACAAAAAAAACAGAACAAAAAAGCAGCAGAGCACTTGCTGTAGTCTCAGGTAGTCGAGAGGAACACAGCAGCATGTGGCATATGCTGCTCTAAAGCCCTTCATGAAGTACAATGTATTTGTGTCTTACAGGCAGGGTGAGGGAAAAATAATTGCATTCTTGTGCTTCAGTGAGAATCTCTGCTGTGTACATGTGCGTAGGAATAAGAAGACTTTTGTATATTTTCATAGCTACACTTCTTCAAGAAAACAAACCTTACTGTCTCAAAAAGTCTGCAATTTGGTTGTTAAAATCTGGAAATTTCTCACTGAAATTCTACTTTATCATATGCATCTATGCTGTAATGTACATACTTGGAATTTCACATGGTAGTGTAAAAGAAGGAAACAACTGTGTAAATGAGTCTTTGTACTCTGCTGAATGCTTATACTTAGTTGCCTTGGCAGTTATTATTTTTTAAGTATCTTGTTCTGATTTGCATCCCTGGAATTGCCACTTTGTTTGGCCCTGCAAAAAGACACTGTTTTTCAACAAAAAATATCAGCTCTATAGAACTGCTTAATTGAAGTCGCCCGTGTAGCCTCAATGTCTATTCAGGTTCTGCAAAGCAGCTGAAGCCTGCAATGAATGTATCAGTGTTTGGCCGAGATACAGGAGCCTCAGACCACAAAAGAATGCAGACAAAGGATTTTTTAAAAATGCAAAGGATGAAAAAGAGTGTTTTCAAAAGGGAAAAATGTAGCCTTTGGACATGACAACATTATTTTTGTTCTGAGTAAAAATAACAAGGATCTTGTTCAATAGACGACTGACAGTGGCAATATAGCCAGTATAGGAAGCTGACATTGCTGAGAGCCAAGATCTGATAATTTGATTTCCATTTGTGTTCAGCTGGTCCAATGGGTTTTAGTGTAGTTGAAGAATGACATATCAGGAGCCTGCAGACTTCCTGAAATGTCTCCAGCTAGGTGTGGGCTCTCCTTGCATTGTTACAACTGCTTGTGGCTCCCAGCGTATCGGCATGATGACAGTCTAAAGGTAAATGGTTTTATGATGACTGAAGATGATTAAATAGAAGATTATTGATTTTCTGGAATAAGGAAAGTGTTATTGAAACACTGGGGAATTACGAAAAGCTAGGGATTTTGGGAGTGCTCTCAAAAAATGAGAAGGATCTCTGCATGAAAGCAGCAAATCCAATTATTTCAAAAGACCAAAAATTGGCAGCCAAGTGGGGAAAAACTATTCAGAGGGAGATTCTTATAGCTCTTAGTTTTTAAATTAGTTTTATAAATAGTTTTGGTTACTTTTGCTGTTCTCCAACTTTAGCGGACTAAAAACACCCCTTCCTCTCCTGTCCTGTTAATAAACATCTCTTTAATAGCAGTATTTTTCTCCTTTATTAGTATTATCACTCATGGGGTAATAAACATATGTGTTTCTACTGCCTTCATGATTAGAGAGGATGAGGAAAGGAAATAGGAAAAATACGAGGAAATATGGAAGGGAAAAGAGCTGGTTCAGAGGTAAACGGTTCTTAGAAAGAGAGGCTGTCAAGGCCAAATTGATTTGTAGTTTGAGTCCTGAAGTATTAATATTTACTCTATAACCACAGAGTTATCAGTGGACAGTGTTGATGTGCTAAGTGAGCTGGCAACAGCATGGTTTAAGAAGTGTTATCACACTGGACACATGTGAGTATAATACCTAAGAATATACAATGCTAGCCCCAGGATGAGAGTCCAGGTTTTCTGCTGCAGTTCGCACTTCAGTGCAAAGAGATGACAAGGGAAG